AACTGCAGGTTGTTGGCTGAATCATAACCACCCATTCTCAGCTGCTGCGGGCTCTCCTTGTATGAAGACAGCTGCACTTGAATCATGATATCATAACTCTCATATTTCAATAGGCATCAACATTTGTGGACGTACATCAAGGCTTATAAAACAAATTAATGGAATCGTAAGACGAGGTTTTTAAACCTCCCCACTGTTGATCGTCTAGCAAGTGTCTATGAACTCAACATTGACTTATGTTTATAGATATCATTACCAAGGTTTGATTTGATAATTTCGAATAAATTGGGCATTGGGACTTATATTTAACTAAGTATAATGATTTAAGCTTAGGTGTTGCAATTCAGATTTATTAGTCCAACCTGACCATCCCACAACACCCGGAGAAGCCAAACCATTGGTCTGACCTGGTAGTCGGCAATACGACTCACTTCGTATCCGTCTAAGTCAAAGATTATCACTCTGTTATCAATTGCCTATAGGTTAGTGTAACGCGGTTACGATTGAAAATTATCATGATCAGTGAGCAAGTAGGTGAAAGCCTCTTAATATAGGGGCTTTCTTTGAGGCTCAGCTTACCAATTATATCATTTGCTGTGAACTTTCCCCTAATGATTTCCAAACGCTACGTAATGATACATAGGACATTGGATAACGGAGTCGCGCCTTACGTATCCTCCTCCCTCAGCCATCACTGAACTACCTTGCGGCGCGTTGTGAAGAATACTTGTGGTTTTTGTCTGTTAGGTGTCCCGTATAGACTAACTGAAGCCTTCACTTGCCCAAACAGTTATTTTCTTCAAACAATAAGAAGTACTCTAGAAATGAATTTTCTCCAGATATTGTTAATGAATGAATTTAGGGTTCCTGATCGCTTCTCCTTAGAAAATAGATCCCAATTGACTACTGGTGTTAGGGGCTTAATGGAAAAAGCTAGTCTGTAGGAAAATATGGCTCAGCGGATCGTCTGGGAAACAAACAGATACACCTCTGGTCTGGACTTCATTTTTGCCAAACGTAAGTCGGATGTCACCAATCTAATAATAATGAACTACCTGGGTCATACTAATGTTTTTCTCTATAACATATTTTTCTGATGAATTTACCCAATACAAAACTCTAGCAAAACTAATCACGATACCGTCAGAAGATACTATGAAAAATTAACCTGATTGAGCGAACATACTCAAACAGCGGTATCTTCTCAAGAAACCTTCTTCTAGTTAGCCAATGGCTACACTTCTATTTGGCAGTCATACGCGAAATCCCCTTGAACGTCCTCTTATGGGAAGTATTTAACCTGAAGATATATCAAGAGTATGCAATACGTGTATCCAGAGAATCGAGTGGGATAAAATAACTCATCAGTTTCGTCTTTCTAAGTCTATGTAAAGTAACTACACGTATCGATACAGTTTCATGAAGAGTTGGGTACACACCATGTCGAACATTTTTGATCAAGATTTTTCGACACCTTCCATAGCTCGGTCGCTAATTTCCTGGTTAACGATTCCCAACTCATTTGTTCTCACTCTGCTACGCATCTCTCTGTAAGTACCTCCACATGAAATCCATTTTTCTAATATCTCAACACGACTTTCTACACATAACACAGGCCTGTTGGCTACCTGGAATAGGTGGACAATCTCTCTGGTACACAACCATCCGGTTCGTATTGGCCGTCCGAAATCCTCCAAGACGTTGTGTAGTATTAACTATTTCAATAAGTCTGAGAAACTAAATTTTACGGGCATAAATGGGAGTTTAATGATGTAACTTTTTGAATACCTAAACGGGAGATTTCTAGCTGTCAGAGTTTGCACTGCTGTCTGGCCAGTTTTAACGAAAAGCCAAGAGTCACAGGGCTCAATGCTTGTACATATTTACTAATTTGCGCTTGGACATAGCGTCGTTTGATATTTCACTGATGACCTACCTAACTCCTTAGACTCTCAAATCCTACCTTTTGCATATGATATTTTGATACAGAATAGTATATTGTTAGTTCAGCTTATATCTTGTCTCCCTAAGAGGATATATGTTATTCGACTGACCATCAAAAACCACCATTCCCAGAATACCAGTAAATGCAGAGTGCTGCTGGTGAACAGCAGCAATGCACTATCCCACCTCCTACTTTCTAGGCGATTTCAGTGTTTTACTATTCACCACTCAAATGACATCGGCGTTACTCTTTATAGCACTTTTGGCGTTTCCTACTAGTATGCGCATTCAACAAGACCTACTCGAAATAAATAAATTTGATCTTATGATTATTCAATTGCATTATTACACCACCCAACCCGAATTAATTCCTTTTGACCTCTGACCTGTTCTAGCATATATATATATATATATATATATATATATATATATATATATATATATATATATATATATATATATATAGTTATTATTGTAACCCAGTTATTTACACTCATCTATGTCATTTGTTTTCACTCTATCTCAATGTAAAAATTCTATCACATTTTTTGGTTTGTAAGCAGCTGACGAGAAACCTCGAAATAATATGAATTCATACTATTCTGCATCAATATTTGTTCTTGCTTTATTTAAATTCATAAAGGGAACCAATTGCATGAAATTTGAAAGTCTTTGAAATTGATGCTGACCTAATTATTTCTGTTAGACAAACCCTAGCTAAAGGCACTCGGTCACTCTTCCGCACGTGGTCACCATTGAGTACGCAATGATGCGCACCTCTCGTAGCAACCAGTCAGCTTAAATCATATCATTCTTGATGTACCAACTGCCTCCCAATTATATTTTTGATCTCCTTCATTTCTGACATCTGATTTGATTGGAAGGGGGATCCTTTGGTCGTAAACCTGCTACGATCAAAAGCACTATCTAACCCTGAAAATAGGTAAAATCTTTATGCTCTTATTCCCTCCACCCTATTATATAAAATAAGTTTCACCAATAAACTACATATCATAGGACATTAACTTAAGATAAAGCACGAAGGAGCTCGTATAAAGTTCTTTGCAAACATTCTGTATCTCGAATGAGGAAGTTATAAAAGGTTGGTTCCAAGAAGTATGCACAAACCTTACAGTAACTGCTTACAATAGGCTTGGTATGCCGGATCGTTCGTGGATATATAGCACGTGCAGTATGAATGCTAAGGGTTCGGTAAGCAACAACATCATTCTCTTGACAGGTCTGCGGAAAAATGTGTTAGCGAAACTGAATAAAGGTTCTAAAACTGGTAATCGAATGTAGCGCGGTGATGAAAAAAAGAGGAGTCTCTACAATGTTAGCGTTGACGGAACATGCATCGACATTAGTGAGGATACGCTGGAGCTCAGCAACATCATAACATCGGCGGCACCAGACTTTTTAAAAAAACGTGGGCTGTAGTGGCATTGTACAATAGCCACACAATCCACATGCTGTGAACACGAGACTACTCAGAAAATAGATATTCAATATTTAACTCGGGGAAATACCTAACAATGGAGAAGGCGCAGAGAATGAATTGAATGAACTGGAGTTGATCGAGTGGCATGGCTCGGCCATGCAGGCGTGGTCCATCTCAATGTTACTTTATATCTTCTATTCATATTAAATATATTGTTCTTTCTCTAGCCTAACCTTGTTCTACATCATGTATTGGTAATTGATACGATACAGTGAGTTGGTGTAGTCGATGGTGTGACTTCCACGTAAGATCTTATAGATTAGGCAGTTATATCATGACAAATCTACAATTTTAGGATTAGGTCTATTATTAGAGCACTACTAATATCATAGTAGACCATAATTCTACAGGGTCTCCAAGCACAGGAGCCCTAAATGTAGTTGTACCCAAAGACTCTGTAGTCGATTGAAATCCTGTCAACAAAGCTAAAACGGAGCGAGTGTCATTATCTAAGTGGCAGAGCATTCCAGGCTTTGTAGTGAAATCAGCTAGTGATTTTGCCGTACAATTTACCCCTAAGGTTTTCCAACCAGTTATCAAGGAGAACGAGTATCCCAAACGTATCTGAACTACCAAACATAGAGGTCCTCAACCTGAACGTACCCGAAAACCTGGGAAACAGTCACGGTTCGTAATGATTCCCACATAATCATGAACCTTAAAGACGGCCCTGAGCTCCCCTCAGTTTGCAGAATAAAAATGATAGAATGCTTTGGGAGGAGTTAAAGAAGAAGCTCGAAATTCCCAAAATAGAGCCTTTGACGGTCACATGGCTCAGTCGGGGAAAGGACTCTAGGCATCGAAATCATCCAAGACTACTTCGTGTAACACTCACTAACCCTAACGCCGTAGAGAGTGTCCTACTAGCTAGTCACTTACCGAAATGTAAGAATACTGCCTGGTATGGTGTATTCTGAATGCAATCTCATCAGGAACATTTCTGAGGAATCTCACGAGACAGTTTATCGCTGAAGAAATATCATTGTGTAATGTGTGTTAGAAAGCACAGAGCTTGACAACAGAGTCACTGATATTTGGTAGCGAGAAATCATCAACCAGTCCTTGAAGCTCAAAAGCTTATTGGTTCAACAAGTGGTGAGACTAGCCAAGAAGGATGGGCATGGTGGAGATTTGTAGCTCAGGTGGATAATTTTGACGGAGTTTTGTTCTCTGAGCTGGATGGTTTGGTCGTGCTCAGAGGACAAAACTCCATCGAAAGGACGAGGATCCTAGACAGTGGCTGGTGAAGATAACCTGAACATCCCCCAATATGGCGGCTGCAGCTGTCGAAACATTTCGTGCAAATAGACGCTGGATAGGTCACATGACGCCGTGATCAAGCACGAAAGCGAATTGGAGATGGAACGACAAGGGCTAACAACTCAGAAAGCCCTGTATAGGTAGGCTACCTGTCCATTTGTAGAATTATAGCCTACTTCGCTCTTAATACTATCATAATAAGAGACCCAATCCCAAAATTGTAGATTTGTCATGAAGTGGCTGCCTAATCGATAAGATTTTACGTGGTAGACCCGTAATTGTCTATTCATAAGACCGAACTTCTAGCTTACTATTTATCTGTAATTATATCAACCTCTGAAATTTCAATTTTGAACGTTTGTTCTACTCGTTTAGTTCAGTGTGGCTTTTATGAAAATGGTTGAAATCACGCCTTTAGAGTCCAGAATAATTAGACAAGTTGAGGTAGCTCATGCCAATTCTTTTTTCTTGAGTTTCTTTAGTATTACTTTGGGGATGTAAATCTGTCACGTGATAAGTTCATGAAAGAGGCTGTTAAAGAGAATGACGGATGTAAGATTTATATTTGAGTAAAATCATAATTTCATGTTTTCAGGGATTCCTATGGAGACAATGATTAAATTTAACCGTCTAAAGTCTTTGTCAGAGGATGTTGAGTTCATAAAGAAGTCAGTATCCAAGTCACAGTCCGGGTTGATTGAAGTAGGCGAAAAAGGTCTTCGAAGAAATCCTGAAATGAAAGTTCCTGAAACATTTGAGACAGCTCTTAACAGCTATAAAGAAAATGGTGTCTATGTTAAAGGCTTCTCTCCTGACGAAAAATTGGACGAAATTATTGAATGGCTTGAAAAACACGGTGGCAAAACCCTTGATGTGCATATGCGCAGATTTCCACGAGACAAAAAGTTTAGGGTATTCTCAATTCCTGTCCTAATATACATGTAACAGGGAAGCATATTTGCTATTTTTGAGAAGAAGGAGGATTCTGAAAAGTTCCTGGCTTCACCAGAGGCTGCTACTTTCAAAGAAAAAGCTATGGTTCGTTCAACCCAGTAAGTTTAAATAGTTTGGAATTACGTGAAGTAGTGTGATTCGATTTCTTATAAATAAACGACTGTCCACTATCATGTAAAAGAGCCTACTTATATCTTCCTGCCAGATACAATATGTAGCAGTTTTCTAGTCATGTTACATGTCTCAGCTATCTAAAGTTCAGTCCAGGTAGCAGTATCTCTGAGCATTAATTAGCGATTGATATCAAAGTAGCAAACTTTTGATGGCATTAAAAGTGTATTTAATACTAGTACCTGTCACATCTCCTTCATGAATCATAACCATTTTCCTAATTATGCTCAATGTTTACCGCAAGCAACCTTAACCGATAGGTAATTGTGCAGACAATATGTTCTATTTAAGATCAGGTCTCAGACTTTTTCCATTCGACTTTCTATCGACGGATAAAAACGTAAACTAACGTCTTGAATCTGCACATAACACTTTAATCTATTTAATGAAGTTTCTAGTGGTCTCTTTCACACCTATCCCATAGGTTGGAATCCCATGACACTTTTTGACAGTTCAAATCTCAGTTTCCGAGGAAGCGTACACAACTGTGACTGAAAAAAGTAAAGCTGTTTCTAACCTCAACTAAGTATCCAGTTTCATGATACCTTATTGTGTTATCATTTGTTATCATCAGTAGCCACCTGGCAAAACTTAAACCACGGGTTAATCACAATTGAGTAATCAAGAAACTGAAATTTCATCTGGTATCGCATAAGTAGTGTAGTTCACAGTTGATGAATTAACATCCAATAAAACTAGTTGAAATTACAATTAACTATGGAATAGTGGAATAATAAAATCAAAAGTAAGCAGACCTGAGTAACCTGTAATTTGGTCAGCAATCTGTATAATCCGGTTGAGACAACTGGATTGTATCGCTAGTTATTACATTTAAAGTGTAGCTCAAAGTGTGATACATGGTTATACTTATTAAATTAGTTGCATTGTCTTAGTAATCCAAGCTGCGTAGAGAACTCGTTTCTCGTTGAAATATACAGATGACTGATGGTTGGTACCAATGCAATGTTCAGAATCCATTATAAACTCCGAAATTATTTCCTACAAACTTCAGTATGAGTGCAAATTTTGGGTGATTGTAATGCTCTATCTTAATCTGTAGTAACTCGATGCATTCAGTTTATTTAGTTCGTATAGTCAAAATAAGTTCACTTACCGATTAATTTCTAACCTAAAAACTTGAAGGTGCACTGCATTTTATGACAGTAAATACTATCAAATACTTTTGGTAGTATGTTAATACTCAAAATTCAATTTTAGAATCGATTATTGGAAACGCAAAGAAGAAGAAAACAAGGCTAAAGTTGCTTCACAAGCCAAAAAGAAAGCTGCACTTGAAGCTAACCAGGAAGCTCAAGTTAATTCTCGAATGATTCGTGGAGCATTACTTGAAATCGTTGGTCTCCCAGAAGCCACAAAAAGTAAATATCTGTTTGTCCAACTTTACCAAAACAATATAACTCATCAGCAAATGCTACATAACCGATTGTATCTCTTAAATGTTTGTAAAAACCAAGAAAACTGACAGTGTCTGATCAGATTTTGGAATCCTAGGTTCCTGGAGAGGGGTAAAAAAGCAGAAATATTTTCACCATTTCGGAAAAGTACCGAATTTTCGTAAATTCCTTAGTACCTGATTGTTCAATCTAATGCTTATGGCTCATCTTAGAGAATTCGTTGTACGTGGATGCGAATCTAGTCAGGATTGGTAGCAAAAATATCAGAATCAAGGTATCATTGTTACTAGTCAAAATTAATATACTTGGTAAACAGAAATAAGTATTTCAGAAGTTTGAAAACTCTCAATGAATACGACTGGTGTACAAAAACTATATATAAAGGCGATCGAGCTTGCATATTGTGCACACAAACGGCTAGTTGACGAAATAAGTTGAGTACAATTCAAATCATCACTCGAGCTCTCAGAAAATACTTAACTGTTATATAGTGTACTCAGTACATAGTGTGTCGGTTATATGTGTTGGTCATTTGAATCTTCCCACTGATGTTTAGGACTGCGATTCATCAGTCTCTTTTGCATATGTGCCTCCTGTTCGGATTGCTTTGGTACTTCGACTAAGTTAAAAGCGTTTCTAAGCAGTGATATGTAGTGGCTGGTATTGAAACCCGGAATGTGCGTTTCGTCCCGTTTGGGAACCTTTTTGTCTGCTTTGGTTTGAGGAGTTGGATATCATTAGCTAATACTGGAGGTTTCAATGCTAAATCCATAAACCTGTACTTGATATATAAGTTACATGAGAGTATAGAGGTCTTGAAAAACATGTGACCTTAGCGTTGATTTAATTTGTACCATGAAATACGGGCTTCAGTGATTTAAATATATGTTACAGATATAGTCCAAGCATTCTCCACATTGCGTATTATTTGACTGTGTGGAATAGCTTGATAGTTGTTAGTATATGATAGTGTCGTGGGATGAAAGAAATTTTCGTAAGATTTGTGTCTTCTCCATCACGACTTCGTTGTTTGGGATCTTAGTAATCATGCAAATTTTGTGCTTATGACTTTAGCAGATTTACTTTATAATTAAAATGTGATAATCCGACTGTGATGGAATGGAACTTTTTGACAGAATAGAATCTATCTTGGTTGTATTTTTTAAAATTTATCCATGTCTTAGTAATTATTCTTTTTTATTTGTCTATTGATGATATGACTGTCCCACTTTTTATCTCTTCATAATGTTGTAACTTTACTTTTACGATGGGTTTTCGGTGCCCTGTCGTACAAAGTTGTTTTTTTGTACAGTCCTACTCAGCACAAACTTCAAGCATGAATGGAAGTGTTCGGCTTGGTTGGCCACTGATATCACTTCTATGGTAGGGAAAAAAGTCGTTTGGGTTGTTAGTTTTTCTGTAATATTTCAATGGAACTAATTATCATTCTGAATAGAATGTTGATATTTGCTGTTTTCTGTTTTTTCTATCTTCACACAACTCTTCACTTTCTAGAAAATGATGCAGTTGAAGGGGAAGACGCTACAACTGAGAAATCAAAAGAGTCGTCAGTGAATGACAGTAAAGACTCAGAAGCACCAACAGTTATGAACTTAAAACAGTGGTTAAACGAAAAGGTAAGGTAATATGGCGAACATTTTGTTATGTGGTGAAAGTTCGTTATTTTGTTTGCTTAAAAGACTGCTGCTACGAAATTAAGTCAAGTTCTTTGGACTTTTTCTCGAAGGGAACTTAGGATATACAAGTGATACTGTTTATTATGCTTTGTTTGATTCATATTTATTTATCTTTTTGGATATTTTCACAGCTTGACTCAAGTACTCCTGTGGGATGGATTGATATCGAACCATCTGAGGGAAAAGCTGTAATACGATTCAAACAACCTGATACAGCAGAAAAAGCATGGGCTAAATTAAAAGAAGCATTTGGCGATAGTCCTGTTACTTATTTAAACAGTGAATTATCAGGTCGCGTAATTACTGGTAATTGTCCATAAAATTAATACGTTTATTCATACTGTGAACTGCATATTTCACTCATAAGTAGTTAACTTATGGAATGGAGTGAATTTGTCTTGCCACTAATGAGCACCCGAAATTTGCTAGATATTACATCATATAAAATCATTTTATATATATTTTCCACGTCATTTGATTTGTTATTAATCTACTGATGTTCGTCAAACTAAAAAATCAGAAACAATTTATGCGGATTTCAGTAATTACCATATTACGTAGATGATCTTTTGCGAGAGATTGTGTAAATAAAATGACCCATAAACTCATAATAACGACTATATTGAAGATGTGATCAGCTCGAACGGAGCACATTAAAATTTCATCTTGCTTTTGTTTACCATCTAAACAAGACAAGTTATAGTACAGTAAGTCCAAATAAAATGGCAAATATAATTTCGTAGCACAGCAAATTAGTTTTCTAAGTTATCTAGTTTACTTCACCATACTGGAAGCTTTTTGATAGACTGTTTTTGTTTTGGAAGGTGACGAAGAGAAGAATCAGTGGAAAGTGATCCTGGCAGCTCAGCAACAGAAAGCTCAGAAACGACGTGGAGGACGTAGTGTAAGTTGATTTCATTCGCTTTTATTATTTGTTATTTAAACACAGATTATTAAATTTGTGTGGGCTGAGATACAGCCCGTGTGTCCAAACCGAAGCTGGTGGTTTTCTTTGTAGACCACTCCCCGAACATTTGGCTTATGGGTCTAATTCACAAAGCAGTGGAGCGACGTTGGGAGATGCGGTCCCATGATAGCTAGTGACCAACAATATGTTCACACACCGTTTGTTCCTTCAGGATCCTTGAACTTTGGTTTGGAGTCAGGATTTCTCGACTCCCCTAGATAGATTCTCTGTACCCATCAATCCGGTTCAAACCCCAGATATTTACTTTTCATCCTCTCCATCTCTTAATCAACACCCTTCACGAGAAAGCAGTGAGTAGGATTACCTTAGCAGTGGCTACATACGTGTGAACATATGAGAGCATTTCGAGAGGGAGCATAAACTCCTCCCACCGTTGGTCGTACCAGGGCATTCGGGGACATTTATCTACGCATAACTGTCATTGACTTCCTTTGTAACTAAAATTTACCAATCTTATTGTAAGAAAATTGTTGTTTCCTTCAAAATAAAATTTTATCCACATAGTTTTGACAAAGTGTAAATAAATTTTACCGATGATAATATTCTATATATGGATAACTATTGAATCTCATAATAAAAAAAGTCGATTTAAAAATTAGTGAGAGGATAGTTTCGTTTTCAATATTTGTTGAAGGATTTGACCATTTTCGTTTGCTAAATCTCTTATAATATAAATGCTGGAGAAAATGATACTTTCTGTAAAACCTTTACACATCAATCGCCTTATCATTATGGGAATGGTTTATAGAATGTCCATCGGGAATAAGCTGCTCACTTCCTGTCATAGGAAGCGGCAGTCACGTGTTGCGTATGCCTGAACACCGATTACCACGACGTCCAATGCTAACCGGCGTTGGGGATGGTTAGAAGAAAGTCAGGGGCGGCCAAACCAAAACGTGGCATCAGTAGTTGAAGACACTAGCATCTGGTCTGAGCCATGTTGGTAGATGCAAACTACTTGGTTGGGGCCCGCGTGACTATCGTAACCAATTGTTGGAGACTGTGGATGACATGTCTCAGAATCGCTCACAATGGTGTAGGTGTATACACTCTTCGTCTTCCTTTAAACCGTGAAATTAAAATTACTTTATACCTTTCTTTCTACGTACTAAGTTTCTCTTCCTGTACTATATCCTTATATGCAATCTTTCTTTTATATATTGTCACCATTGACTTAACTACTCCTATGAATCCGGCGTTCATCGTGCTGTGCTAATGCGGTATGGCAACTTGGACCGATGCATATTTGTGCCTGGTCCTACGTTGTAGCTGACTGACTGACTGTGGCTTAACAGTCAAAGTACAACTTTTAACCAGTAGATCACAGGCTTGAATCCCACCTCATCTACTTTGAATATTTTGTGGTTCACTAGGTACTGATTTGCGTATTTGGCTTTAAATCATACTTTATGGGCTAGTAATACTACTTGGATACTTAGATAAAAGCAGCTAAAGCGAGTTTTGAATATGCGATCTACTGTCTGAAAGTTGAACCCCTTAGTCATTGGGTCACCATCGCACCTTTGGTTTAGGCAACCGAGTATTATTACCAGTGTAATCTAAAACGCTGGGTCCATAGACCCTTACTTGGTGAATATGTCATATCATCATCCTTGCGAAATATCTGGAAATTCGATAGGTAAGTCAATGAATAATTAAATACTAGGAAGTTTTATGCAATTTTCGCCGTTTTAAAAGTAAGCATTTCATTTCTAAACCAATTTTAAAAATTGGTAGTAATCTGATAATATTATCTTTATTAAAAGAGCCAGGCTGATAACGTTAACTCATTACTGGCTTATAACGATGATTACGTTAAATATAATAATCTCTTTTTTCTGTCTTGGCTATCCATGTACAATTCCAATTCACATCGATTATGAGTGTTCACCCAAGAAATAGTTATAAGCTACACGCTTGAATTATTAATATTAACTATTGTGAGGAATAAAAAGGAGGCTGAAAAAAGTTTAGATGTAAACAACATGTGAATTGTTTTAGTCAGAATTTTGATTGGGATCATGAATGGTTCAACATTAAACCACCATTGTAAACCTGGGAGCACTGAACGGCCGTTTTGCTATGGTATGGGTCTCTTCAGCAGTGCGCATCCACGGTCCCGCATGCGGGATTCGAACCTAGGACCTTTGTTCTCACGCAAACACTTAACCTTTGAACCACGGTGTTGATGTCTAAATTCCATCGATCCATAAACAGTTCATTCATTCTCTCAGGTAGATACCCGACACGAATCGAACTCTACTGGTCACGGCTTCTCATTAGAACTCCAGGAAATCTATCTTGAAGCCAGTCACTAGTGAGTACATGATGATTGTCATCAGAATGGGGGTTTGTGGAGATTGTAGTAATTTGAGTTAGAATTACCTGAAATTATAAGTATATATAAGTGGGTACATTAACTGCCGTAGTTGAAATTCATTCAGGATGGTGTGGCCAATATACATTGATAATAACCACTATTTTACTTACCTGCTAGTAATTCATGATGACAATAATACTTTCGCATTTTGATCATTAATGTGGTGGTTGGAGACAATAACTTACGTGTAAAGAGAAATTTATAAATGCTAAGATCTGGTTATTTAATTTCTTAATTCGACTTTAATGTTAACTTTGAGATAAGAATAAATACCAAGTTATTTTTACTGGAAGTATAATAGTTCGATTATCTTCACTCATGACTACCATTTATTACTTGAGCGCTGTAATATTCCCCAGACATTCAAAAGAGAACAAATGGTTATATTATGCACCCTCATAATCCTTATGTAATCATTTAATCCTCAAAGTTGTAAAGCGTCATTAATGTATGCTATCCCGTAGCAGCCAATGACCAATGATTCCCTTGAGACATTGCAATCCATATATATTATTGAATTGCGACCAAGGTTTCCAGACTGTACATATCCACCAACTCGGATTAAACGTCGAAAGTCCCCCCTTGCCCCACTTTTATTAAATCTTCACGTGAGGGTAGTAAGATTTTTCTGGAACTGGTTATGTGTGTGTCTAGATGAAAGCATTTCGGTAGAAAAGATCAGACTATACTCTTTCGGCAGTACCAAATCATTTAGAGACCTTCTCTTGACAAATATCTATCATAATTTATTGCTAATTACATTTATGTTAATCCTTTTTAGGATGGAAGACAAATTCGTAACAAACGACGTCGTACGAACTAAGTAAAATGGAACAGATTGAGCTCCACTTACTACTGACTTCATTACTGTATATTCATTAAAAATAAACTTTACTTTTAAATATTTTCTTTCACACAAATAAGAGAAGCTATGTAAACAGCGATCATTTGTAATGGAAAATATATGTATTTGGTTTGAGAAAGTGTCTTTTTCCATGTTTAAACCCTAAATTTACATTTTACTGTTACCATCTATTGGGATGCGCTTACATTTTACCATTGTTAAGAGAATATTCATTGTGAAAGTTTGTCATACTTCATTATTCGCCAGGAACTTTTTGTTTTCTAATGTAATTCGAAAGTGGCATGAAATCGCACAGTTGATTGGTACAAGAGGCTAGTGATACTACTGTATGTTCAGTGTTAAGTAGGTGAGGCTGAAATCAAACATTAGGCCTAATAGTTTGAGTTTGAGTGCTATAAGTTGGTCTTCCTGTTTGCATTTGGACTCAACGAAAGTTACATTTACAACTTGCAGTTGTGGATATTACAGCATTGGTATTTGGGATATGATCGATGGATATTAATAATCAATTATGCTTACGAGGTTTAGACGCTTTCATTCATGGATCTCAGCCCATTTTTCCTAGTCGTTGCAGTTTTTGCATCTAATATGTGTGTTACTAAATTGTATTGGTCGAACTTTGAGGATACTATGCTCCCAAAAATGTGAGTAAATGTTGAGTTGTATTTCTGAAGATAAGCTGTAATGTTTTCACATTGGACCTAGTTTTCGTTGTTGATCAAAGTTCATCAACTAGTGGAATGTGGATCTCGATGATCAGAAAACGTTAAATATAATAAGTGGAGAAACCTATCATTATGTATTCTCTTCAGTTAGTTCTCTATCGTCTTTTTTGCCAGAGTGTAGATGCTTATATTTCTGTACCTTAAATCAAGTCATTCGTATGATTGTATGCACGGCAGTTGATAAACTTGTTTTCTTTACAGATGGTTCGTCGATCTTCATATGTAAATCGTGATTGTAAAAATAATAAATCCAGCCCAAATGAAATAGTTCCTGTATGCGAGTCTCGCAGAACCCGTGTGAAATCACTGAGACGAAGACCAACTAGTTCAAATAGACCGCACTACAATCCATGTGAACGTCGTCGTCGTTTACAAACAATGGTCCGCGAGGTCTACAATCGTATTCGGTGTGCTAATTTAACATCCAAGTGGAATCATGTATTTGAATTGATGTCTAAGAACCGGCGTTTGTTAAGCGAGCAACTGAATTCTGCTCATGCTGCTAATCTCGCAGCTCGATCTATCACCTGTGATGAAATGTGGCCTAATTCCAATTCTGCCGATCCACCTTTATTAGCTGAACCGGTAGAAATTCCTAATGTCTATAGTCAATTCGGCAAATTTGAGGCTCGAATCGGTGGTGTATCTTATCGTGTTGCTATTACAATGATGCCCCAAGTGAGTAAATTCAATACGATCAGTATGTGTCGAATTCTCTTTTCAGTTTTTCACCTATACATAAAAATGTTGACTTAATTTCTGTGTTTGTTGTCATTCTCTTTCCACTCTTCCACTTTTATAGGTTGATCCTGTGCCTTCCGTTTGTATGTGGGCTCCTGTTCAACATAATTTCTCTGTTGAAGATGAAACAGAATTAGCTAACTTACCATATATGGGTGATGATCAAGCTCAGGAAGATGTGAATTTTTTAGAAGAACTTCTGAACAATTATGATGGTCATTTACATGGTAATTTTCCATTTGAATTTGAAGAGTCACTTCTGGTACAATTGGTTAATGCAGTTGCAAGAGAGTGGCCAGATATTATCGCACAATGTGGATTAATACCATATACAAATCAAAAAGGTGAACACCGACCCATAGATTTACCACAAAATCCAATTACAGTTGATTCCTCATCACAAGAAATCGATGCATCATCAATATCATCATCAGTAATTGGTATTGTTGACGAAACTGGTCTAGTTGATTCTAATTGTAAATCAAATGAACGTGTCTTGAAAAGATCGAAACCAGATGAAGAAGATAGTGACGAAGTTTCAACTACAAAAAAAGGTCGTTTCACCCGTCGTTCAGGACTTATCGAAATTAAAGATGTTGAAGTAAGTTCGATTGTTTACTTTCCCTTGTATGAAACTGTCAATAGCTCCCGTAAATTTCGCAGAAGACGAACTGATCTGTATGTCCAGCGGTAGCTTAAGCATTAAAGCAATCAGCTTTCAACTACAGTCGACCTTATACTCAAGAATTGCTTCAGTTATTTTGATCTTGGCAATTGGATATTATTGCTAGCTCCTCATACACAAGTAATGTGATTCAAAGCCGAATACGAAAATTTTCGCTTCCAAAATTAGTTGCACAGCTGAGTGTAAATTTCCAATGCATTCGTCACACATGTTAGTCTTTTTTTATACAAGCACTGAACGATTAATGTTAAGAATTGCAGTGTATTTCTTATCTTACTTTGCCATTGGAAATAAATTGATAAGTAATCACTTTAAAACAACAGTTGTTTCACAGCTACAGTCTTAAGAATTTAATTCTGGATAAACGATTGTTGCAAACTGAAACGTGGCATCAGTCCTTGAAGTCACTAACTTCTGGTCTGAGCCATGTTGGTAGATGCAGACTGCTTGATTGGGGTCCTCGCGACTATCGTAACCAATCGTCAAAGACTCTTGATGACCTGGCTCAGGATTGATCACAATGGTGTAGGTGTGTACAATTTGTTATACTTTAAGCCGTGAAATTAAAATTACTTTATGCCTCTCTTTCTACAACCTAATTCTTTCTTTCTGTATTATATTCTAACATGCAATCTTTCTTTTATATATTATTACTATTGAAGCAACAACTATGGACTTAATGTTCATTTTGTTGTGCTAATTAGGTGTGGCAACTTGGACCGATGCATATATGTGCCTGATCCTACTCTGTAGCTGGCTGACTGATTTCTTAAATAAAATAGTTGTTGTACAACTAACCCTTCATTTTTACATTGAATACCTATTGACCCTGGTGATAATCTGATCCATGTTAGTATGCGCACATAATTGCTGACCATCATACACTTGGTAGTCGTAATCATCAGTTGTAGTTGTTATGGATGATATAGTCTGAAATCGATTTCAATGACTCGTGTTTATGTTCATTGTGTATTCTTCCGTAAATCTCAAATCATGTATGATTATCAATCTTTTGTTCTTTGATTTTATTTCAGTTTTTTGTAAAGCGGTTTGTTCATGTTTAGATTTTGTTCAAATTATATTTGTATCTGGCTGCTAATACCTTTTTTGTCTCTTAGATTCCTAATATTAGTGTTGGTACACTTTTTGCCGTGTTTATGTTTTTATTTGATTATGTCACATGCTTGAATTGTAATAAATTTCTCAGTATCGAAAGCGAACTTAGTTTGACGAATTTGGTTTATGGATGGAATAATCAAATGACACTTTACTTTTTCCAGGTAACAATAAGCAATAGTATAATACCACCTAATATCAGCGTTAATCTTCCCGAATTCAATGATAAAACACTGGTTAGTCTCCATAATAAGCTGAAAATTGAAGACAATAATGAGGAAATCAAGTGTGAACTGATCGCTACCACACAACAATCTCCCAAGATAAGAAATTCCGTTGATTCACATCATAGTGATCGTGATTCAAATTCTCCAGACCCTAAGCGTCTCAGTACCACTGGGATTCCAGATGGAGTATTCTCTGTGAGTTAAACTTTAGAAAAATTCTGATTCTAGACAGTTTGTTTCCTATACCATTAGAGTGGCTAAAGTTAACTGCAACGTTTTCATTATTCACTAAGTGTTTTGTACTCACATCTTCGATCATTTCTCTGTTCATTTAGTGAATGAGTTCTGCCTATAAGTGTTTAGTTCTCATTACAAATTCCACTCAAAGTTCAAACTTCTACTATATTTGTGTTTTCCATCTATTACGTCGAGATGCAATATACTGGATATGTCCATAGCTGATATCTGGGAATTACTGTCGTCCATATATCCGCAGTTCTATTTCGAATCCGAGGTTAATATTCTTCATGATGAGTTCTTTCTAGCCACTTTATTTATTTTATTTTAACAAATGGATATTGGTACAAGGAGGCACCAAATACATATGCGCCACACAAATCTCATTTGATTTGTGTGAGGGCTGTGATACTGCCCGGGTACCCAAACCGAAGCAGGTGGTTTTCTTAGGGGCCACACCCGGAGCCTTCGACCTGAAGGTCAAATCCACAAGGCAGTGGAGCAACGTCAGGAGATGCAGTCCCATGGTAGCCGGTGACCAACGATTGTTTCATACGCCATTTGTCCCTTCAGGATCCTGGAGCCCATGTGCACCATTGGTTTGGAATCGGGGTTTTCCAACTTCCCTAGGTGAACTCTCCATGTCCACCAACCCGGTCAAAGTACCGGACATTCGCTTTTGGACCTCTAAATTTCGTAAACAACGCCCCCCGCTACTAGAGGTCAGTGAGTAGGACTTCCCTGTCAGGCTATATACGCGTCTCCATGTGAAAGCATTTGGAGAGGGAGAGCGGACCCTCCCCACTCTCGATCGTACCAGGGTATTTGGGGGCTACTGTTTGTTGTAATATAGTTGTTCTTTACATAATTTTAAGTTAGCTTATTGTTTGCAACAATATAAATAGTCTGTTAGAAGTAGCTATGATTTAAACCAAGGTAATTGTTGTAAGCTGAAGATAAATAAGTTTTTTTGCTAGTTTTTAGTATTATTTTTCTGTATATGACATAAATTAAATACTTTTGTTTTATCCTTCCAGTTGAATAGCTACATTTCACTTAGGACAATCTAGTGTACAATTTTATTTTTATTAGAAATCACTCATTATGGATCTATGCATCAGTTATTTCAATGGTGTTCTTGTGTTACTTGTCTTTTACAACAGATGATAATCTTGTTATCATTCTTAACTTTTATATTCCCCGTTTAATAGGATCACTGAATTATCTAGTCCATTAATGATTAGTTTATTCTGCTTCAATCACACGTATAATCTTGCTTTTGATCAATGATGCAAATAACCAATAACGGCTGAATATCCCAATACCCATTAATCTACTCTGCCCCTTCTGTTCCTTATGCCCAATCAAAACATAAACAGCCGATCG